GGAAGCTGGAACTGTGAGCCCCAGATCTCTGCTCTAATTAGCTTCTCGTCTGCTCGTATGAGACTGGCTATACCACTCACCCAAAATGTAGCCGCGTGTTGGTCCCTCGACCTTGACTCTGAATCGCTGTCCTCTCTGGATAACACAAATCTCGCCTGGCTGCACGTACATTGGTCCAAACTCAGTCAGGATATCCAGTGCTCCTTGTTGAGGTACGATCAAGAAGTCACCATCGGAGTTTACCATTGCCCTCCTGTTCATGCTTGCATTGCAAAGATAAGTGTGAACAGCTAAACCCTCGCGAAGCGTAGGATCGCCAGAACCAGCAATGCTCTTGAGACCCGAGGCAAAATCAACGTCGCCATCGGTGGGAGTATCGAACGGAAGCCACGCAAGCTGTGTAGGAGAGACATGAACACGCTTGTTCACCGGGAGGAAGTTTGACTCGGTGTCTTCGTTGTCGGGGAGATCCGTCTAGAGCTTTTGTCAGCAAATAGAACAAGTGACCACCTCGTGGTTTGGCCGCGCTATCCATCTGACCATGCGACCCCAGTTTGGCCCTTGCATGACATGGCCGGAGTTAAGCATCGATGACGTGAGGTGAATCTCGCAGGGCAACAACATCGGTAAAGGGTCATAGCCGATGTCCAAGAAGGGTTTCTTACAAATCCTTGATGCGCAACGGCCGGACGCGCCCTATATAGGTACGCCTAATCGAGGCGTCAGCAACAATATCCATTCTTCTGCGCAGATAGCCAACCTTCTTGTTCAGATGCCTTGGAGCGACGAAAGAAGAACCGGTCATCTGCTCCGCATATAGTCCGAATCTGACACTCCTGGGGTTGTTCTGGCCCTTTGGGATAGTTCCTGGGAGATATCGGTCAATCCCTCGTCGCGACAGTCGGATGTACGCGATCCTCACCTGGCACTGCTTCTGATTCAAAGCTATTTCCGAACCCAGATTGATACTACAGGACAACTGTCAGCAGCGAACTTGGACATGGCAAGATGTCAGCTCACCTCATATGGATCGTTCTTCCTGGTACCAAATGAAGGTATAGCTCCATCTTTCTGCGTCTCTGCCCAGTGGAAGATATTCTGGTACTCCTTTGGGTCTTTGAGTGGTTCAGGCATGATGACACTGTATTCGTGACCGCTCAGTCCAAGTGTTGCACAAGATCGGTGTGAGACTAAGATATTAGACCGGATGACTAGGCTCAGGTATGTTCTCTGCGACAGTGCAGATTATCTTCGAGGGAGAGTTTGGTAGACCAGAAAGTCTGGCGTCAAAAGAAGTGCATCATCTTCACAACGACCCCACACTTGTCGACCCCACAATGTCGCAGGAAGCCGCATCGTGCAGGATGGAATATCCGGTCACCAAGTTCCCCTCCCTACGAATCCTATCGGCGCATTGTCCAATCATTGATGATTCCGAAACGAGCTCTCGTCGTCATGCCTGGCTGTGCACAGCGATGAGGTTGATTTGGGAGTGAGATGCGCAACTGCCGATGAGGGTCGAAGAGGGGTAGCTCCACGGCCCTGCGACGCCGGGAAAGAGCGGACCTCATGCGACCCCGATTCGCTGATATTACCCTGCAGTGGAGCAGTGGTTCTGCTTGTAAAGAAGTTTGTAAGTACATAGTCAGCAGCGGCAAGGCGGCTGTCTCGGGCTTGGTGATGGTTTACTGATGTTACAAGTCGGGTTGTTGCACGACAGCGACTTTTCAAATACATGAAGAAGTTCGCGATACTAGACATGCTGCGCCGCATGCACAGTGGCTAGGTAGAGAATCCTCCCCAGATTTCTGGCTCATGAGGATTTCGCTTAGCCCCACGATGCAACTCAATCTACAAAGTACCTAGGTACCTGAGTCAGGATTGTTGCCAAAACAAGATCATGTTACTTCTCCATCAAGTCGACAACAACAACAACGATAACGCAGCGAAAGTCTCAAAGGACCGTTGGGTACAGAGCACGGCTCAAAAATAACGTGCTTTCTCGCAGTCACAATCTTCCATCGCATTCCCTTCCGCATCTTCCCCGTCTGACCACCCCAATAAAGATTATTCAACACACCATCACTATAATCATCCTTCCCGTTCCATCCATCCTCATGATACCAGTCCAGAAACGTCAGCGCCACAATGAATTCAGTTCAGCCCTACGCTCGCGAGGGCTTATCGGTCTTGCCAACGGACCTCGCCTATCCTCGATGCGAAGCTGATCCCCAAGAGCTGAGGAGACCAACCCTGCCTACCCGTTGTGATAACTCTCCTGATCTTGCATGAAATCGCCAGTCGAGCCGTTTGTTCGTCTGCGAATTCTAGAATCGGACTTTGAGTAAAGAAGTTCGACCGCGTGGTACAGAGCAGCTGAGCTCGCAGTAGTCTAGATGCAGAAGTGCACTACGTTCAATCCGGACATTGACAGCGTCAACATTGCGCGGTATACACGACTGTTAGAGCAGTTGTTGCGGTCTAGAATGATGTAGAATAGATGGAATACTTGATGAATCCTTCCGCAACATAGCTCCGGTCCAGTAATCTGTAGCCTTGCTATCGTGAGGCGAGACGAGGCTTACAGTAGCGACAACGACGACGCGTCTAACAGTCCAATAATCACGTCCCTTACGCGTCCATGGAATTTCCGCTTTCCGTTCTCTCTCTCCCTCGCCAAAAGCCACAACAATTATACTCTACGCTTGGGCTCGCCTTACGAATCATCATTCCATCTGCGCCACAAAAAAGCCCGAATGACCGTCCACTCACGGAACTCCCCTCCATCTTGACACTATCCTCACACATGATCCATCACGAACAACACAAAACATACGCAAAACCGCACACCCCCATCGGCATCAAATACCGAGAATCCTATCATTCCTGCTAAACGCCTCCGTTTTGCGGAGATGCCCATGTTATTTTAGTTCGCAATGCTCATTGCTTCCCCATCCGTCGTTGGCTTCGGAATGGAAACATGGTGTCGTCATTATAGTGAACCTGACTGACCGCTCATTCATGTAGTGAACCAAACTTTTTCTTTGCTTCTTTTCTACCTGCTGGCTAATTCCAAACAAAGCCAACTCCGAGACCGACACCACTTTAGTGCGAGATGGTGATAGAAGAAGAAGAAGGGTTGTTAGAACACGGAACCGCGTTTCCCGCCCAATTAAAAACATGGCGAACCCATGTTGCTAACTAACTGAGACAAGTTCCTTGTTCTTTGTCCTCTCTTGACCGCCTCGTCTCGCTTCGGCAGCAAGTCAAAACGCCTCGCGCAATTAGGCGGCGCAGGCCGCTAGGTAGCTAGCCTTGAGATCGAACCAAACTGTTCTTTACCACTGTATGCGGAAGAAGAGCAGTGTATGGAAACGCGCCCCCCTTGCCCCCTCCCAGCGGGCCACCCTGCGGCCTGCTTTCGACCCTGTTGCACGTTATTGTGGCTTACATGTAAATGCGCCGCGCTGTGCGTAAGCGCCCATGCCATGCGCAATCATGTTCGATGCGGGGTATGCCTAATCCCTGTCTCGTTACTACACCACTACGACTTCCATCGCGATAATAACGCCCACGCCCACTTCTTTCCCAGCCCAGGACTCGGTTGTATTTTTGTTTGTTTGGTAGGGGGCAGGTATGTGTAGATCACGAGGCTTCACCACATCCCCCATGGATGAACCTAGACCGCTTGATGGCCTTGTTCGTTAAACTTGCCTCTTGTCTAGTTCCTCGCAAGAAAGATAGAGAGTGATGAACCTTGAAGTAACAAGAAGCTATATCCTTACACCTCCATTTTACAACCTTTATTATCGTTCGCGCGATATGCGATCATGTTCGCATGCAAATCATGCACTCTGCAATCACCCGACAGAACACCCAGAGTCATGTTCCAAGCACCATGTCAAATACGCAACCAGCCCAAACCCTAAATCCTAGCCCCGCCACTCACACTATACCCTTATCATAGGAGGGTATTGCGCGATGCAACAGCAAGCATACTCGTAGCTCCTTAGAACGCGCAAGATGGTGTAAGAGCCGTTCGCAGCGTTTGCGGTTTCTTGCTTGCGACAGGCCTACCAAGACCGAGGCGGTGCATTCTCGGGAGTTGCGGGACCCTGCCTTTCGTGATGGACGATCTGTGATCGGCACTGTCTACTGGTCTGCGCCTTTTTTTCGACGTATGCAGTAGAGGGAAGGTGTATGGTTTTATGGTTTGCTGATCGCGACCCTGCGCTGATCGGTCGGACAAATTGCTCACATTGCACTACTTCGTACGAGAAGTTCAGAGTAAGAGCAAGAGCCAGTCGGATTAGCAATACGGCTTCTTGGTGAGGTAAGGCTGGCTGCTTTGTAGTGAACTCGCCACAAGGTAAGCATGATCAACGCAAACATCCGAGAGGCTGATTTGATGGGGTTGGATAGGCTACGCTGCGTCGCGTGTGAGACAAGAAACAACCTCGCGAGAAGCCGAATCAAGTCAGTCACCAACTAGCAACTGGAATGTATGTAACAGGTATATTGGACATGAAGATGAACAGGTTTGGTGGAGTCCAGTCAAGCATGCAGTCGGAGCGTCGGGCTTGGTAATGCAAATGTGGCCATAGGTTAGTGTATGAAACGATGAAACGCTCCTTTGAACAACGCGCTAGATCCTCAGTCTACGCCCGTTTCGAGCCCACTCTGAAGCTCGCGACGTTTGGTGTGGCACATCTTCTGTGGCCAACCGATCAATCACAGGGCGGGAGGGAGCGTCGTGGAGAACGCCGTGTGCGTGACTACGCAACGTGATGGGCTCGGAACAAGTGTATCGGAGGCATCCTGGTAGACGATTGAAATCGCGTCAAGAGGCAATATACTGCTCTGGCAGACATGTCTGACAATTGATAACATTCCCGACGCGCGTTGCGTTGCGTCGACACTCTTTGTATGTACAGCGCCGCATAGCCACAATATCCAACGTGACACTCGTGATGCATGGGAAGAAAGGGAGAAGAAGAAACTCAGTCGTTCATCCAAGCAGCCACACGGTTGCCGCCAAAACGTGCAGCGAACCGTAGACCAGTCGAGCCCATCGGGAAATACGAGACGATGTACCATAATAGACATACTAGTTGGGCAATAGCCGCAACAAAGGTGAGGATGGTACTGTGGAGCTAATCACGCGGACAACGTCAGTAAACACGAGCTAGTATGGAGACGATAATCGATAAGGGCTGGCGTGGGGGGCAGGTGGATGTTCGTTTTCGGGCAGCCATGACATGTACAAGGGTTGACATGTGCGCAGGGATCATATGTACTGGGGTAAGAACTTGAACCTACACCTAGGGAAAAGAACAGTGTGAGAGCGATGCTCCCAAAGTAAGCAGCCGTGAACGGAAGCCTCGGACCAGAGGTGAGGTGCTGGACTTGGTGGGAGTGTCAGCAACGGTGATGATGGTGGTTGGCTTAGGAATGAGGCTTGCTTACGGTATTGAATAGGGCCCATCAGGACACCCCAAGCTGCCAAAAAGAGAACGCTTCCCATGGACCATCTGCAATCAGGCCATGGTTGTTAGCGCTAACGTCATTCAGGTGATGTGCATACGACTTGGCAAGGTAGAGTCTGGACTAGACGTGAAGGCTGTCTGCACCCTGCAGCGCGCCGAACCTTGGACCCGCATGATCGCTACAAAGGGTCCAGTGCCGATCTTACGGTGGCTAGAGAGTCAAGCGACGCAATTCGTCCAGGTCAACGTCCGCAGTCGGTGAGCGGAAACATGCGATCCTTGGAGACATTGCAGATTGCATGAGTTCGCATAGCCGTGCCGAAGGACGCATACGGTATGTGCCAGTGCCTATCCGCCTTGTATGATCTCACCACTGGCGAGCAGGCTGCATGCAGGGCGTCCTTTTGACTGGATACGAGAGGCAACAGAGACAAGACGAGCTGAAAACTTACAAAATGGCAAACTTGCGTGGCCTGAGCAGGAAGACAGGCGTGAACATCAGGCCAATGCAGGTAGCAAACATTGCCAAGGCAGCGAGCAGCAGGCCGCCAAATACGAGCAGCCGGTCCCACCGACTCACTGCAGGTAGTGGTTAGCGCAATGAACATGAGTCAAGAAGGGAGGGAGAGGGCAGTGTGAAATGCGATGGTCCTGCATCCGAAGGTGGTAACGCAGGAACTCCCTTGCTGTCACATTGCCGGTCGTTGCGCGGCCGGGTTGGTGCAAAGGCAGACGGAAGGGCAGATGACACGTTGATGAGAGGAATTATGGATATTCTCCACAACTGGACAGATGCTCATTTCAAGAATGCCATATGATATCCAAGGACGGAAGACAAAGAACCATGGCTGTGCGGTGAGACTAGTCTCAGAACGTCGTCGTCTGATGACATCACGCGCCACAGCTGGAGTGTTGTAGTGCGCGGGCATATAGTGTGCGGGGGGAGTGGAGTGGATGTGCAAGGTGAAGGTGTTTTGCCACGGCATGTAATGGAAGACGTAGACTTACGCGCAAACCACCCCTCTTCCTCCTCTCGCCGAGAGGGCGCTGGGAGAGGGGCGCCCGGGTTGGTCTCTGTTATGGGGAGTCTGACATAGCCACCCTCGCCGAAGGGATTCAGGTTCTGTATGCGGCCCAGGAATGAGGGCGGCGCCGTGTTGACGGGGGCGGGTTCCTCTCTTCTACTCCAGCCGAGAGAGTTCATCGAGTCGCGGAACGAAGCGGAGGCCATGGTAAAGAATTAGGGTAAGGGTAGCAGTGAAGACGTGAGGTGCAAGCTTCGAGCCTTGGAAGCCGCAGCAGGCGACACAAAGATATGCGGGTCCAGGTAGCTGCCGTCGACCCTTGTCTAGCAGAGATTCAGGATGTGGCTGGAAGGGAGGGCACAGCTGCCTAGTGTCGATAAGTGTCGAACAGGATACAGCAGCGGTTTGTTCGATTCGGTGCAACTGCAACTACTGCGACAACGGACCGGAGGATTTCGTGCAGATGATCTGCCTGCGGTGTGGGAACAGGCGTCTCAGATAGGACGACGGATGGGCGAGGCTTGTGACGAGGCCGCGAAGGGTGCGGTAGGTGCGATGGCGACGCGAAAGGTGTAGCGGAAGGTGCGATGGGCCGGGGGCAGCACCGTGGCGGCGCTGATTGGTCGAGGGGAACAGTAAGGAACTCTCCGGGTGCTGGGTAGAGAGGGTTGGGCTGGTCGGTCGTATACGGTGACAGTAGTAGACTCAGTTCACATCAGTCAAGGTCGGCCGTCGCGTCGATTAGCGTCCTAGCGACTAGTGCGCGATCGTCTCCCGCTGCGACATGGCTAGTCGACGCTTTCAGGTAGACGCACACACACACCCACTCTCTCTCGGACACTTCGGCCAAGCCAGTCTAGCATGTCTCCCTAGACCTCGAGAATGAATGACGCTCGATACTGAGCCCGACTGTCCTTTAGTGAGTCACATTGCGCGCCCTCACCCAGCTTTGCTCCAAAACCGGGTAGCTGAGACATGATTACCTCGTCGTGACCAAAAGAGGCCACACCTTGCTCGCATGGTGGGCGCAGGACCGGGGTGGGCAACAGGCAGAGCCACACGCAGCGTAAGGCGGGTGAGCATGGCAAAAGAGCCGCCAGGTCGACTCGAGTGTATATTATGCTGCCGTGCCGCGTCCAATAATTCCTCTCCTGTCTAGTAGTCCCACTGCATGTCCGTCAGCATCTTCTCCAGACGTGGCCGACTTCTCCATACAATATATCTGCGGACCACTGCGGGCCGAGTTTCCTCCACAGCCGCCATCGCTGCCTCTGTACGCCGCCGCACGTCATCCCTTGCTGTCTCTCCGAACCACATAGCTTCCTCACTGCATCGCTAGCCGCGACTTGCTTTGCCGTACAGACGCCCCTCGCTGGCCTGCGATCCGCGGATAACAGGCTGATTCGCCATTGCCAATAGCTGCTTGGCGCAAGCGCTAGCAACACCATCCTCTCTGACCGCCTTCCGGCTTAGGGCCCTCCCACACCGACCAACTCGCTTCAGCTGCCCCGTCCTCGCTCTCAAGAGAGAGCCGCTGCAGCCAGCGGAATATCTTCAGCCTGTGCCGCATACAGACGCGCAGACTACAAGCACCGCAGCCCGCCTACCACGCTTCCTGGTCCACGGCTCCCAGCCCACATCCCACCCTTGATCCCTCCCCGCCATATACCCCGACATCCATCTCCATATCCCACCTCCGGTATTTTACCCACCACCACCCACGCCAGTCGCACAAACGAGTCGCCTCCATCTGTTCACTTCTCCACTCTCTGGACGACTGCCACGACGACCCTTCGCCCCTCACCTCGACAAACAAGACAAACTCCTTGCTCGCCCCACACTGATACACCAACACTACGACTACCCTCGACCACCAAGTTTGCTGTCCCCTCACCGGAGCAGCTAGCCGTTCGAGCGACCTCACTCCGTCTCTCCAGAACCGAGAGACCGAGTGTTGCAGGTGTCATTGCCATTGCGCCTTCCTCTCAATCGTGAGGTGAGTCAGCGCCCGGCTGCCCTTTCCTTTGCTGCTACTCTCCCTTCACCACCACTGCCACCACCACCACCACTCCTCGCTTCAGCCTGCATCGTCAACACCAGGTCTAGCCATACCGCGACCGTGTGCGACTGTTTCGCTGCTTTTGTCCTCTGTACCACCATCCCCACAGCGCCGGGCTGCAGCACGGCTGTCGTCCGCCGTCGCGCGCCTCGCGGGTTACCTACCTGTGCGCTACTTTGATGCACTCACCCCTTCAACCGCCCAACACTTCAGACTGCTGGACTGTGCGCTGACACATCCTTTCAGTTCGACTACAGAACCACAGCCACGAACGCTGCCGCTCATAGCCGTAGCAGGTTCCAGACCGGTGAGCGATAATTCCCGCCATATACCCGCAACGACGACTGTTGCATAAGAGCCATAGCGCTAACATCTTCTGCACAGACAAACAATAGCTTTCTGACCCAGATTAGAGGCTTGCTTGCACTGTCCTTGTGCTCATCAAATAGCAAGCATCTGCCAGGATCTTTAAAGGGACACAGAACGCCTCGTGCTGCAATCATCCTGCAAGCTTGCGAGTGAGTTCCTTAGTCACTTGCTTGGGCCGACGTCAGATCGTTTCAGATCCCACACTCGGCACCAGCATCGGCCCTCGGCCTCACACACCCACATTTCTGGAATACTGCAACCCACAGTAATGCCAAAGCCTAGTAAGTACGCCTTTGTGACATTCCCCGCTCTGCACTGTCATGAGAACGTCTGCCGAGTACACCCACATCTCCTATATCAACTCCTACCCCCACACTTCCTCTTTCGTCATTTCAAACGTCAATTTCTATCATGTACTACGAGACAATACTGACTGTCCCTCAAGCGGACGCTCTCTTCACTCCTCCCTCTTCCTACTCTCCTCAGAAGCCGATTGCAAGGCTGGACCTTGGCTTCGACTCTCCCTCTGACGACGTGCTAGACGCTGATATCTTCAACATGACTGGCACAGGATCACCTCAACCATACATTAAAGAAGAGGTCGACGAAATGTCGTTCAACAACCGCTTTTTGGGGCACAACGGCCTCGACATGAACCACCAATACGCTAACGCCCAGTTTTCTGGACATGAAAACGCCAATGGCATCAACCCCTCCGAGCTCAACATGAGCGGGAGCATGATGGGCAACCACTTTGGTACCAACAGTTACACGCAAGGCGGAGCTGGTATTGCCGACGACGAGCTTGCTGAATCTCTGGGCACTTTCGACCAGCAACCAGGCTTCAACAACTTTGCACAGGAGCAGGTTGGCCAGCAAGACTACTATCACAACCACACCAACAACACAAGCATGAACCAGATCTATTCCAACACACCGGACGACCTACCCATTCACAGCCCCTTCAACCATCCTGGCAACTTTGACTTCAACCAGTACCAATCAGTACCCCAGAGGATGAACTTCCCTGGCAGCATGCCGAGTGGATCCATGCGTCAGCGAATCACCATGAGCCGGACTGGTAGTGACAGCCGCGCTCCCATGTCACCCAAGACCCCTGCCATGGCCGGTCTCCACCTCGGCACTCCAGACTCTGGTAACTTCACTCAGCCAATCATGACCAACATGCATCGTCACCAGAAGAGCGTATCTAGCCAGTGGGATGGCACTCCTGGGAGTGCGCATTCATGGATCGACTCACCAACGGCATCGCCCCACACTGGTGGTCTGCACCACCAGCAGATCACCGATGTCTTGCACTCGGGCAAGCACAACTCACTCCCCGCCAAGGTCGACATTGGCCAGAACGCGGACGCAAAGAAGCGCCGACGTCGGGAGTCTCACAACTTGGTCGAGCGTCGACGACGCGACAATATCAATGAGCGTATTCACGACTTGTCCAGACTCGTACCCCAGCACCGTCTCGAGGACGAGAAGATCCGCAAGCACATCAACAACAATGGACCCCTGTCACCTACTATGGGAGCCAGCGGTATGTCGCCTCCACAAGCAACGTCACTTCTTGCTGGTGGCCAAGGAAGGCGGGCTGCTGGCAACATTACACAAGGACTGCCAATCGAGGAGAAGGACAAGGGACCAAACAAAGGAGACATTCTCAACGGCGCTGTTAGCTGGACTCGCGACCTCATGTGGATGCTGTCCAAGAAGATACAGGAGTGTGACGAGCTAGCCGCACGACTCCAACAAGCCACTGGCGAAGAGTGGGTCACTGAGCAGACGGAAGACGAGAAGCGCATGAAGACGGAAATCCTCGAAGCTCTTGAGAAGAATGGCTCTGGTACCTTCCGATACTCGCGAGGGCCAGGTTCCGGACTCCGAGTACCCAAGCACACCAACTTGGCCGGTGAGCCCCTTAGCGGCGTATCTCCACAAAGCCTGAGTCCAGGCATGCAGAGCACCGGTAGCGGTTCTGGATCCAACCAGCCACAGTACTGGACCAGCCTAAAAGAAGAGGATGAATACGGCATGGACATGGGCTGATCTGAAGCATGTCAGATAACCCAATTCTTCCGGTCTCCATATCTCTTTGTCGATTCCTTCACTATGATACCCCGCGATACCCCGCACCCGTTCCTGCATCTTGCTTGATGCATACGCTAGAGCTACATCAATGAGGCTAAAGGCGCCTCAGACCGGTGGACCATTCCTCGGCATATCATCAATCATCGCCCTTGAGCCTGCTCTCCGCATACCGTCTCTGCTGGCCAAGGACGGATGAAGCTTTCGCTTGCATCAAGCACTTCCCATCTCGTTGCATAATATGTTCTACCCCTCCGTGGCACATCATCACCCTGGCTTCCGCTCATCATCACCCGAGCCTAGCCTATCCAACCGGAGCACAAAGGCCTTGGTCGCTCCGGTATTCGACACACACTCCGTACACGGCGGTCTCACCTGTCACAACAGCTGTGGCCACACCTTTCTGGCAGCTCTGACGACTCGCTTACCTTCTTTGTTTAGTCTTGTCTCATTTCGCATGCAAGTGGCGTTGCTTTATCTGCAGCTTTTGCACCTCATCACCCTTGTTCTTTTTTAATCATGGTTTTTTGGTTACAGGAAGGTACCTCGTTAGCATGGTCGGCGCGTTTTCGGATTGTTGGCGTTCTATGGTGTGGGGAATCGTGTTGCTGGAGGAGAGTAAGAGAATGATAGACATGCAGAAGACGTTCGGATAATGCTGGCTATGGATGATGGGGC